AGTTAGCAATTTAGTAATAAATGTCGCATTTGGGTCGTAGATTTTACAGTAGGTCAAAATCATGCAATATTATAAAAATCATTAAATAACTTTGCTAAAATTCAGTCTGTTATTAATTTCTTGTTGTTAAACATGAATTAGCGTCAAATCGTAAAATATTAAAAAACGCCGTCTTTTTAGCCGTYCACCGTCAAAGGAAACCTGCCCCCTTGATTGGCACACCCTATCGAYGCACCCTCTGTATCAACCGAGAGCAGTTTTCATTGAATAGTGTGGTAAATATCGCATAGCCTTCAACAATATACTGTCCCAATTGTCACCGTGGGGATAGCTTAGTACAACCATAAAGCTCCATTCTCATTGTAGGATGCCCATTAAACCCTTTCACAATAAGTCGAATATATCTGGCTTTGATTGGTATTTCAAGCTTGTTCGTCACAATGGTGTTTTTGTCCGTGTTACCCGGAAAAACCTAAAAAAGGTAGATTATTGGATCAGCTTTAACGCATAAATAGATACTCTTAATGAAATATAATAATATCTTAATTTATCATACAAAATCCAGGAGGAGCCGATCAGGTCTGTTCTTCTAAATAGCTGTTCTTATACAGTTTTTCTCCTAGAAAAGTGTTTTTAAAATAGAATTTTAAAATAGAAAAACTCCTCTTACGGCTGTTAAAGCACTTGAGTATTTAAGCGATATTCGGGATTTTCCTTCCTGATAAGATCGTGAAGAGTTTCCTGGGAAAAATTCCTAGAGGCCTATTCAGTCTCCCTTTTAAAAAAAATATTCTAACTTTGCTGGCATACAGCTGGCTGGGACATAAAAACAGATATGTTTCTCCCAGGAACCCATTGGCTCCAATTGCAAAATAGATAGCATATATATTTTCGTGCCAAGAATGCTTGAGCGAAAGATACCTGACCGGTGTTTCTGGTATCAACTTTACATATCTGCTAAAACACTAACAAACGCAGGAAGAAATCCTCATAAATAATAGTCTATAGAGACAAGGGTTCGGACTGTTTCATAATCAACGCCCACTCACAACTTTCGGTCTAACATTCTGATTTTCTATTTCGACGACTTTGGATCTTTTAGAGCTGCAAATACCTTGATACAGTCCCCTTGGTAGTGTTTCCAGTTCGTGYCATCATCACTATACGACAACGAATACTTGGTGACCCACTGATTGTAACAGCAATTTCTTCCTTGTGTTGCTATCATGGTGATGACTTGGATGAAACTAAGGTCAACCTGTATGTATTCCCCAGTCTTCTTTGAACCTGCAGCCCATCCACCAATACCATGTTTGTCAGATTTCTTGTTAAGCCTGCCATTTCTAGTTGAGAATGGAACATTTCCTTTAAGTTTGATGTCCAATGATTGAAGTCTTAGTTGTGTGGTGGTCTACTGAGTAGGCCTTCACTCAATACAGTTAGTATTTCACAGTCACGCAGCTGAGATATTGGAAATATCAATACGATTTTTTTTTTTTCATTCAAAGCGAACAACCGCTGATTTAGTTGACAACAGTCACTCATGCGCAGAGACCTTACCAAAAACAAAATAAAGCACGAAAAAATGTTGTCATTACAATAGCACTAAGCCTGTATTCTCAGAAGGTTCAACTTCTTGTTCAGGCTAAGCCTCAAATCGGAGAAGATTCAAATTTCTAGAGCCATTGTAATGTCAACATTTTTTCGTGCTTTCTTTTGTCCTCTACGCAAATGAGTCTGTTGTCCACTTAAACAGGGGTCTCTCGCATTGAACTGGAAAAAGGCTAATTATAGAGTGAATAATCTGATGAACTATTGTTTTAATAGCCGACTTGCGAATTACGCATCAATAGTCACATACAAAGGAATCAAGACGAGGCGCCGTGCTTTTTTGTGAAAAATCTATTGACTTTAGCACGGCGCCTCGTCTTGATTCCTTTGTATGTGACTATTGATGCGTAATTCGCAAGTCGGCTATTCCTTACTGTGCTGCGTGTCTTGTATTGTTTCGAGGTTTTGCAAATGACGACGAGGATGTGATCTGATATTCTTGTATTACTCCTGATTCCATACCCATTGCACTTCCACATTCTATACAACGAGTTTAAAAAAAATCATTGGCATGAATTCTAGCTAGCGGGGTGTTTCGAGAAACAATGGAAGGAGAATTCTTCTTGTATGTGATCATAAATACCTTAAAAAAAGTTAGTGTCCGCAGGAGAAAAATGGTTAAAGTCAATTGTGGAAAGGAAACTAAAGGAGCCATAGGTATTGCTTACTTATGGTAAATAACAACTGATTTTTGCTTTAGAAATAGTTTTTGGTAAAGATTGACTCCATTTAGTCTCCATTCACGCAACGTGAAACAAGTCAAATTTTGAATGTCCAACAGCGCAACTATTTTTCACAATTGACTGAGCTTTACGCAAGGCTTCTCGTCTTGATTCTTTTGTGTTTGACTACTGAGGCAAAATTCGAAACTCGTCTATTTGAATTTCAGCATTTCACCCTCGACCGTTAGTAATTTTGTTATAGTTATACTTTATTATCAGCACATGACATAAGAAATACATGTCTATGAACTACACCGAGAAATTATGTCAGCAATTTGTCTTGCAACGTCGTTGCGACACAAGCTGCCTAAACAATTATAGCCCTCTTACACTGTGAAAGTTTCCCCAGAAATTTGCAACAGTTTTTGCCGAGGTTAACTTAAGCTAGAGTCAGATCCAGGATGACGGAAATTCGAAACGAAAACGGATCAAGWTTTAATGACGTAGGTGACTCGGAAGTTGTGAGAAAAGTTGTTGGAAGGGTGTCACACAGCTGTGCAATGTCGTTGCACGGTTGCAGCAATGTGTTGCGAAGTAGAATTTAGCAAGTACTTTTTGTAGCTCTACACGCAACGGAAAAAATTGCAAGACGCCCTCTGTTACACTTTGCAATTCTTCCGACARCTTTTCTCTCGTGTCGACGGCGTTGTGAGACAAGTTGYCGAGAAAACCACACACTGAAACAGCACCTTAAATTAAGATCTTCCTTAATCAACCGCAAGCGTATTGATTGTTTGATGGTGTGAATTGACTAACACTTTATCGATATGAGATATTTATAAATTGTTACA